GCGTAGTTGGCTTTCTCCTCAACTTGGTTAGTAATATTTCTACATTCTGAAGCATAATGACCAAGTTTTTGACAATTGTAACACTTAATTTGAGATTTGTCATACCTTGGTCCTTCATTTTTCCTCGTACTTTTTCCTCTTCCACGACCTCGAGTAGAAAACGAACTTTGTCTTCTTTCCTCCGCTAAGACTTTTAAGAGGACAACACTAATACGAAGAAGGAAGTGAAAAAGGAAACTTGTATTTCTCAAATTCAAGACTTTACAAACTTTTTTGGCTTGTTACAAAAATGGAGGGCACTACCCCTTTATATAGTGTTTACAAGAAGATTCTAGTCCACACATTTTCTAGAGATACCTAGACCATATATCAAGATATTTTCCTAGAATTCTCTAGATATTCTTTATAAAACTACATATCTTACTTAGATATTTATATAGATTTTTCTAGATAATGCTTCTAGAAATGCTATGCATGTTGGACCTTTTAATTGATTTGGGCCTATAAACAAAATCCTTAAGCCCATATTATTTAGTCCAAAAATCAAGTTTACTACTCAACAATGAAATCAACTTGTCCAAGTACAGTATGCATAATTACTCCTATGTGCAGAATTTGAAATGATATAACTAAAAAAATAGTAGGATGATAAAACTCAACGATTCGTATATGGTGTCTATGCTTGACAAATCCTAATATTTAATTCACTGCAAATATAATTTACCCTGGAAACTTGTCTCTTCTGGATATATTCATTTTCACTTCTCTAACATGTTAAAGCAATTCAAACTAAATGGATGAACTAAATAAATTGAAAGGAAAATAATCTAGTTATTTGGGCGAGTATAGGTTTATCAAAATGATGGAGGAAATCTACTACATTATTAAGGTACGAGGCCATGCTTTTCTCTCTCACTATAAACTCACCATTAACTTTGCTTACTACCGATTTAGAGTCACTGTTGAAGTAGATTTTTTCATATTCATTTCCTCCGGCAAGCAAAGTCCTGCCAAAAGAGTTGTGTTCACCCACATTGTTGGTGTCTATAAAATTAAATTTTTAGTGTAAAATTTAGGGTATGACCATTTGGTCTTCTTGAAAAATTTCTAGCCTCTAAACCAGCTTATCCTCATTAACCGTAAATGAAAAAATTCCGGTCGGTTTTTCTATAAGTTTTGCATCAACTTCCATGATAGATCTCTATCCGGTTCACATGGATGCTGCCAGGTATTGATATTGGTTTGACACTTTTGCTGTCAAATGTCTAGTATTTTTGTCGTACCTAATTCAAGTCTAAGTTATGGTCTTTATGTGGCTAAAAAGTCTAGCCTAGTATGGTCATGTATATGGTAAGGGATGCTGTCAACCGGTAAGGTGGTAGTAGGTGGAAACTTGTTGACTAAAGTATGCTAGAATCCTTTTGTAATTTATATAAGATGCCAGCCGTGTATGGTTTTATAATATTGCAAGTTAAGTTTTTCTACCTCTTTGTACTTATGTATCCATTAGTGGTTTCAGAGCCACCTGATCATAGAGGTAACTGCAAGGGTTGTGAGACATGATTAGGAGAGAAAACAAGTAATGAACCATTCACCAATACAGTTGAGTGATTTGTGAGTGTGCGATGGCTTCAAGTAGTTTTTCAGCACCATTACCTTCTATGTTTAAAGGAAAAAATTATGACTTTTGGGCTACAAAAATGAAGGCTTATGAATTGTGGGAAATCACAAAAACAGGAATTGAACCACCACCTTTTAGAGCAAATCCCACTGTTGCTCAGTTGAAGCAACATAGTGAGGAAGTTGCAAAGAAGTTTAAGGCCCTTTCTTGCATTCAATCTATCGTTTCAAATGCAATTTTCACCAGGATTATTACTTGTGAGACTACTAAGGACGCTTGGGACAGATTAAAAGAGGAGTTTCGAGGCAATGAAAGAACAAGGCAAATGCAAGTTCTAAATCTTAGAAGGGAGTATGAAACCTTGAAAATGAAATAATTAGAAACGGTTAAGTATTTTTTTGATAAGCTGATGAAAATGGTGAATCAAATAAGGTTGTTGGGGGATGATCTACATGATAAGAGAGTTGTCGAAAAGGTTTTGACCAGTTTGCCTGAAAATTTTGAGGCAAAAATCTCCTCTATAGAAACGGAAGAGATAAATACAAAGTTGAAAAATTGGACACCACAGATAGAAAGGAAGCAAAAGGGTAAAATTGGCGAGGGAAAAATACATGACATCATTGTGATGTCACTAAATAATGCAATTCATGTATTCTGTTTTATTGTTGTAGGAGTATACTCCATATTTTGTGTAAAGTTACAAGTTTCCAAATCATTTTTATTGGCAGAATGCATCTCCAACATTTTAATGATTGCATGAGTATTTCTGTCCAATTTGACTATGAAGATAGCTTAAAATGACAAACTTGACAAATAATTGAGGTGTGATGGTGGCGATGGTTATGAGTGGGTGGGTGCGTTGCTGGATGCAAAGAAGATATCTGAATTTTTTTTTTCTTAATTTATTTCTTGGTTTTTGTGTTTTATATATATATATATATATATATATAGTGTTGATAAAAATAAAAAAAAATAAAAACAGAGGGAGAGAGTAATGTGACAAGGACAATTTTTATGCATGTATTTTGTTCAACATATCTGGATTTCATCTTGCGTAAATTCCATCTTGCTGTGTCAATGATAGATAATTTTGGTGGAAATAAAATTCTTGCACTTTAATTGTATTTTCATACTTTCTTTTTTAATTATTTTAATTAATAATACAATTAATTTGTTTTAGTAATTATTTTTTCCTTCTTGGTCCAAGTTTGGATAAAATTGAAGGTAATTTACATATATATTTCTTAAAACTTAATTTAACCACATATTTTATAAAACCACAACAACTACTTATTTATCATTTACTGATTTTTATCATTATTACAATTTTAATAACTTATAATTTTATCCAAATCTCTTGTTTATGATTTGAGATCTGTTCTCCAATTTTTGCTGTCCACCAATTAATTATTAACACATTATTTTACATTAAAATGTCACATATTTTTAAGTATAAAAAGTACTTAGACATGTTAATTTAATGTGATACGTCAAGAATTAATTGATTGAACAACAAAAATTAAATAGCACTTGTCTATCACTCAAATATCCTTCAAATTAATCCCCTCTCCTCTAAAAATTCTCTTACTAAAGTTTGTGTCAATCTATCAATTTTAAATTTTAAATTAAATATAAATAAATAATGAATACTTGAATAGTATTTGTCCATATTATAAAATATAAGTTTGACGAAAAAGTACTTATATTTCGAACACTTGCCAAACAAATAAAAACTTTTACTGAACTATAGATTTGGATTCATTAAAATCAAGCAGACTTTTTAACAAATCCCACCTTCATCCCTAATTTATAAATAAACTCCCAAGGCTCCTCTCTTTCTCAACTCTCCAAGATTTTTACTCTCTTCCAGCCATCTGCAATGGGGAAAGATTCGATATTCGGAGATGGGGTGCTTAAAAAGATCATCCTATCCTACACCTATGTCTCCATATGGATCTTCCTTTCCTTCACTGTTATAGTCTACAACAAATACATTCTTGATCGTAAACTCTATAACTGGCCCTTTCCCATTTCACTAACCATGATTCACATGGCTTTCTGCTCTTCCTTGGCATTTATAGCTGTCCGAATGCTCAAGCTCGTCGACCCCGTTTCCCTTTCTCTCCATGTCTACCTCAAATCGGTCCTCCCCATTGGTGCCCTCTATTCACTGTCCCTCTGGTTCTCAAACTCTGCCTATATTTATCTATCTGTCTCCTTTATCCAGATGCTCAAGGCCCTTATGCCTGTTGCTGTCTATACGATTGGGATCCTTTTCAAAAAGGATGCTTTGAAGAGCAACACCATGGGGAACATGCTTGCCATTTCTCTTGGCGTCGCAGTTGCTGCCTACGGTGAAGCCAAGTATGATTCGTGGGGCGTTTTTCTTCAACTGGGTGCGGTTCTTTTCGAGGCTACAAGATTGGTTATGATTCAGATTTTATTGACTTCAAAGGGGATCAATTTGAACCCAATCACTTCACTTTACTACGTTGCTCCCAGTTGCTTGGCCTTTCTTTCCATTCCCTGGATTATAGTGGAGTACCCTGTGCTGAAGCAGAATTCAGGCTTTCATTTTGATTTTGTTATTTTTTGGACTAATTCACTGTGTGCTTTTGCGTTGAACTTGGCTGTATTCTTGTTGGTTGGAAAGACTTCGGCCTTGACCATGAATGTGGCTGGAGTAGTGAAGGATTGGCTGCTGATCGCTTTTTCATGGTCCGTCATTAAGGATACAGTGACGCTTGTCAACTTGTTTGGGTACGGGTTGGCATTTTTAGGTGTTGCGTATTATAATTACTCCAAATTACAGTCTTTGAAGGCGACGGAGATGCAGAAGAAGGTACAGGCAGCAGATGACGAAGCTGGAAAATTGTTGGAAGAAAGAGAAGAAGATGGAATGGAGAAGAAGGGAGATGCATCGGTGTAATTGGAAAATTTTTGAGTTAGGGGAGGCAAATGTTGGGGTAAAAATGTTAAGAGGTAGGGGTGGATCTGGGATTTAAATATGTTGTCTGATGAATCTGTGAATGTGCTTCAATTTACTTCTTCTTGGTTTATGATCATTATGCGTGTTTAAGTAGTGTGAAATTTTCAATTGCCTTTCAAAGTTTTCCTACAGTTCCCCTGTTTCCTTCCCCGTTTACCAATAGAAACGTTACTTTTCGTATTTTATTTTTGGATAATTCTACATATACATTATGATGTACATAAGGGTGTCCATAATGTACACGTGAAATTTCACAATTGGAGGTTGAAAAAATTGTTTTTCCCACCCTCAATGATGTTATGCCACTTGTAAATTATAGACACTATAATGTACATGTAGTATAACCCTTTATTTTTATTGTCTTTTTAATGAACCTTTGAGGCTTACTGGGTATCATTTATCCCATTGTATGTCCATTTCCGTTTATCATATGGTGTTCTTGATTTTTTCTTTTTGAGATTGCTTGGATGTAATAATGTTAGTTTAAACGGATGAGTTGTCTTGCAAATGTTAGTAAGTAGCATTTGTTGAAAGCGAGACCAGTTCTTTTAATATTGAGGATCCAAAAGTATTGGTGGTTTGATTTTCTTAAAGTTCGGGAGCTACTTCTGTACTAGAAAACACAGTGATCTCATAAACTGAAACCAAATGGAGGTCTTTGCTAAAATAATAGATTTTTTACATTTTCTTAAAGAAAACTGGGGATCTATCATATTGACTTTCGACTTAATTTAATCCAATTTGAGGTATCTTAGCTGAATTATACGCTAATTTACTTTTCAATTAGGTGGTTTCTGTTAATGGAGAACTGAGATCTATATTTCTTGCTAAGCACGAGGGTTCTTTATAAAGTATCAGAGGTTCGAATTATCACGGCAGTTGGAGGGCAATATTTATATTGGAAGACAGATATCCTATTAAGACAAAGTCATGTCGCTCTCTGTCACCATTCTAGAGGATCTCGTTCACACGTAAAGGAGGGTCCACATGAATAAGAACGACTTCCCAAATGTCTGCTCAAGTGTGTATAATTTGTGACCGTATCCGATTATCCCATGTGGCGAACTAGGAGGAAGGCCACTATTCAGGATAAGTTGGGGGAAGCCTAAATACATCAGTCATAAAAAATAAAAAAAAAATTAAAATTAAAAAATTAAAATAAAATTAAAATAAAACGTATTTTATATATAATGGAATAACAAACACATTAAATTATTTCCTTTTGTCTTTTAAGATTCGTGGTCAACATTTTTTTTTTCTCTTATCAGTATCTGGTTTATAAATTTCTTCTGTATTAGGTTAGTAATATATATATCCTTTTTAATAATGTGATAGTCGACTTTGAACTCCGGGAGGAACTATTGTGTACCCCTATCATTCTGATAACTAGTTGCTATTACGTACGTTGCACGAATTTTTTATTTATTGTATGTTTATTAGTGTATGAATTTTAGTTTTTTGAAAAGTTTTTGAAGTAATATCTAAAAATATATCCACGATATAAGAAAATAATTGCAAATTATTTTTACAATTACATAATAGTATGTTATTTAGAAAAAATATGCTTGTATATTTCATGTTTGAATAAGAAATATATAAACTATTTTGCTTGTATTCTTTGATAGTATTGATATGATTGAATTAAATGTGAAGATTATATTTCTAAATTTTAT